AAAGCTAAAAACATCCAAAGAAGAAAACTGAAAAGCAAAGGTCATGGAGCTGAAGCTGGCCGCCATTTCCTTCTCTCTTCCTGACTACACCAACACTGTAACCCGGGAGGGGTCCAGAAGGAAGCTGGGGCCACTGAGCGTCCACTGCGCTTAGTAAGGGAAGGTTACTCAGATCTGACCTACACAAAGCTGGGTGATTCCTTTCCTCTCCTCAGAACACAAAATTTTATGGCATGTTATATGTTACGTTATGATAGATGCTGTGTTATGTATGAGCTAAGAGCAATCTCTCGGAGTGAACGAAGACTGTCGCCACCTGGTGGTAGGGGCAGGCAGACCAGGTATCTTGGAAGTGTGTAACTTGTTCTTTTGATTTCCACAAGGGCTCCCAGCTAAGTGTTGGCCTTGACTCTCAGAGGAGACCTTGAACTTGGGCTTTCGAGCAATGCCAGGAGTGTTAATGGCATTGGGACTCTTGGATAAGGAGATGGACACGAGTGTTTGGGGACTAGGAGCAGAATGCAATAGTTTGTAACCTTAGTGTCCTCCCCAGAGGCCCAGGTGTTAAAGGCTGGTCCCTAGCCACTGGGAGGTAGTTGAACCTTCAAGAGATGGGACCTAGTGGAAGCTGTGTCCTTGAAGGAGACACTGGGAGCCTGGCCCCCCTTGCTTCTCAGCTGCCTTTCGGTGTCACCACAGGCCAAAGCAATGGACCAACCCACCTTGGACTGAAACCTTTGAGAAGGGAAGTCAAAATGAATGTTCCTCCTTTAAAACAAAACAAAAAACAAGACACAAAAGCAATAGCTAGCTTCTTTGGGGGCTAGGTCACAGTTTCTGTGTGCAAGCATTTCTGTAGGATAGATGCCCTGAACTAAAACTGTGGGTGAAAAGTCTTGATTTGTTGAACCAGCTAAGCTGTGTTCTGAAAAACGTGTAAAGTTGTTGCACCCTTACACACCTTCCCCAGTAGTAGGTCTTGGCCAACCTAATGGGAGAAAAACATTATCTTGTTTTAACTGCCTTCTAATTACTGGTCATTACTACCCACCTAATTTCTGGTAAGCTTTGTTCCTGTATATCGATAGTTTGTATTCCTATTGTGAGAAGCAATGTATTTTATAATAGACTATTGCTTTTAAGGTGATTCGTTTGTCCATTTGGCTGGGACTGTACTAGCGTCTTGGGGAATACCTCTCACAGTTCCAGGCGAACCAGAAGAATTAGGGTCACCCTAAATTCTAATAGCAAAACTATTCTTCTTCTTTTTTTTTTTTTTTTTTTTTGGTGATTCTCAGGGTTGAACTCAGGAACTCACGATTGCTAAGCCACTCCACCAGCCTTGTTGTGTTATTTCTGAGACAGACAGGGTCTCTCTTTCTGAGACAGGCAGGGTCTCCTTGTATGCCCAGGCCAGCCTGGACTATGATTCTCCTTATTTGTGCTTCCCAATGAAGCTGGGGTGACAGGCGTGCTCCACTGCCCCCACCCACTGATTGAGACAGGGTCTCAAGAACCTTTTGCCCAGGCTGGCATTGAACCATGATCCTCCCGATCTGTCTCCCAAGTAGGTAGGATTACAGACATGAGCCATGATGCCCTGCAAAACTATTCATTCTTGATTTCGATCTTGCACCTGGCTGCCTTTCTGAAGGCTTATAATACCTCAGATGATCGCTATCTGGAAACTCAAGAGACTCATTCCATCTGTAAATAATACCATCTCTTTTCCTTTCCATAATTGTCACCATTTTCCTTTGGCTTTTGTGTACTGGTGAGAGACTTCAGAACACGGAATAACAGCAGAGATAGTGGGCATCTTTTTCTCAGGCCTAATTTCTTGGTAGTACTTTTAATGTTTTAACAGGAAGTATGATACTGCTATTGGTTGCTGGTAGATAATCCTTTAAAAAGTAGGTTTTGGGGGAAGAGTACGGGAGAGTGAAAGAGGGGTTCATCTGATTACAGTACCACACACTCATGGGTGAAATACCATGGCGAAACCCCTTTGAAGATAAACACACACTTTAAAAATGAAGGTCAGGAATGTAAAACAGGTCCGGCTCGGGGGTGAGTCCTAGACGGTGGGAGAGGGTGAGTGGAGTGGGTGAGGGAGGGGTCAATGTACTTTATATATTTATGTGAAAATAAACAATGCCACCTGCTGAAATCATGTTAAGTAGGGAGGGAGGAGATGAGGGAGAACGAAGGTGGGGGTGAACCTAACCAAAGTACATTGTTAGCATGTATGACAAGGTCACAGTGAAGCCCCAACCAATATATGCTCATAAAAATGTTTTCTGAAAAGTAAGTTTCCTTTTACTTCCTGAATAGAAGGTTTTGTTTGTTTTTGTGGTGCTAGGGATGGAGCCCAGGGCCTCAAGCATGCTAGGCAAGCACTGTGGGTTGCCAACCCACACAGACGTTCTTAACTTTTATCAAGTCTCTCTCTCTCTCTCTCTTTTGTTTCTTTGGTGGTGTTAGGGTTTGAGCTCAGGGCTTTGTGCTTTAAGAGACAGGTGCTCTACCACCTGAGCCACACTCCCAGACCCTAAAATTTTGTTTCTCTTATCTATTCATGTTTTGATGCTGACCTAACGTCAAGCGCGTATCGTGTATCAGGCATCCTAAATACTTGGTTCTTATCTCATTGAGAAGTAGACAGGCCCACTGATGTAAGAGGAAGTTGAGTGACAAAGAAGTGAACTAACAAGTCAAAGTCAAGCAGTGAGCGGGAAGGCCAAGATTTAAACCCACAGAGGGCGGCAGAGCCAGATTCTGCATCATTCCACTGCTGCTTGGCCTTACTTGGTCATGATGTGCATTTTTCAAACACACTGTATTTGAGGCTCCAATTTTTGGCGTGTGGGGGTTGCTGGGGATTGAACCTTATGAGGCAAGTGCTGTACCATTTGAGCCATACCCGAGCAGGCACACGTTAAGCATTCCCAGTCTGAAAATACCAAATCCAAGATTTTCCAAAGTCTGAAACTCTTTGAGTGCTGACATGATGTCATAAATAGAAAATTCAAAACCTGATCTTATGCAACAGTCACAGTCAAAATGCAGCTGCGGGGCCATGTACCAGTAGCTCACGCCTGTAATCCCAGCTTATCGGGAGATAGAGATCAGGAGGTTCAAAACCAGCCCCAAACAAATAGTTCAAAAGACCTTACCTTGAAAAAAACCCAACACAGAAAAAGACTGGTGGAGTGGCTCAAGCAGTAGAGTGCCTACCTAGCAAACATGAGGCCCTGAGTTCAAACCCCAGTACCACTCAAAAAAAAATTACTTTCAGGCTATGTGTGTAAGGTGGAGATGAAATTTCATGTTCAGACTTGGGTAGCTATCCTCAAGATCTCTCATTATTTATATTCCTAAATTAAAAAATCAAAATCTAAAACACTGCAGGTGCCAAGCATTTTCTTTTTTTCCCCTCTCCTTTTATTTTATTGTTCTGACGTTTACTTTCATGTATATACATTGTTTGTGCTACCTCCCCCTCCTTCCCACCCCCCACCCCATCTCCCAAGCATTTCTGATAAGGGATACTCAAATTGTACTGGAAATATATGTTTGTTGATTGATTGAGTTATTTCTGCTGATAAGAATATTTTTCCCTCTAGGCATGTTTTTTACTCAATAATTAAAGTGGAGCCAGGCAGGGTGGCATGTATAATCCTAGCTACTCAGGAGGCGGAGACAGGAGGATCTCGGTTCAAGACCATTGTGACCCCTCCATCTCAAAAAAGCTAGATGTAGTGTGGTGCAGCCTGTAATCCCAGCTACTTGAGAGGTGGAAATAGGAGGACTGCATTCTGAAGCCAGCCTGAACAAAAGTGCAAGACCTATCTGAAAAACAAACTAAAAGCAAAAGGGCCAAGAGGCATGGATCAAGTGTTCCAACTCCAGTACCACCAAAAAAAAAAAAAAAGGTTTAAGCGGTAATTTCGAGAAAAAAAAATAATGTGAACTGCATACTGAATAACACTGAAATTGTCAGATGGAAAACTTTCAAATCTACCACTCATTCTGTAGGCTGTACCCACAGAACTTCATTTAATTTTATGCAATTTTCCATAGGAGTTTAGAGACAGGCTCTCTTGTCATTGTTTGGGTGGAAAAGGAGGGGAAAAGGATTTATCCATTTCTGATAAAACAAAACTGAAATGGTGTCGGTCTTTAGTAACAAAGCAGTGCAACTGTCTATAGATGATGTAAAAAAGTATGACCTATTTGATATATTGTAGGAACTTTTGTAAATCCCACAATGTACCCCACCCAGCACAACAATTAAAAAAAGAAAAGAAAATACAAGCATATTGCTGGGGGATGTGGCTGAAGTGGCAGAGCGCTTGCCTAGCAAGCGTGAAGCCCTGAGTTCAAACCCCAGTGCCACCAAGAAACACAGGTATAAGCACACTGAAGTTAAATGACCAATATAGAAATGAAAAACTAATGCTGAAATAGCTTCGTAATGAGGGGGAGAAAGAGGCTGATGCCTCAAATTGTTTCTTGGATTTTGTTTTAATCAAAACAGCATAAGAATTTCATTTAGAAATGTAGAGGTTATGTTCCAAAAAGAAAAGTCCAAAACTCAGAGCTGCTCCCTGTGATTAGTCCAGGTGGGGGGCAGGGGGTGGGGCAGGATCACCGAGTTACCCTCCAAGCTTTTCTCAGTCATGTGACTTTTTTCTAGGCTTGCACATAAACAATTGTTTTTTTAAAGGCAATGTGTTTTAGCTGGGTATGGTTATAAATTTCTGTAATCCCAGCACTCAGGAGGTGGAGGCAGGAGGATCTCGAGTTCCAAGCCAGCCTGGGCTCTCCTGACTCAAAAAAGAAAACAGAAAACATGGACTGCAATGTGGGAGAGCTCTTGCCTAGCATGTGCAAGCCCCTGAGTTCAGTCCCCAGCACTGCAAATGAGTGAATGAATGAATGATGAATAAGTGAATGAACAAAACAATAGAAAAAGAAAGCAAGAAGATGGAACCTACCGAAGATGAAGTTGTCAGGCCGGAAGAGCTGCCCAAAAGGCCCGGACCTCACACTGTCCATCGTGCCTGGCTCCAAGTCCACCAGGGCAGCCCTGGGCACATATTTCTGAGCTGGAAGAGAATAAAGCCCACAGGCTTGAATTACTTCAAGATTTCTAGAGCAATCGACTTCCCCCTAGGGAGTCCCACGGCTAGAGTTGCCTGGAAGGCATGCATGGGCATCTTTTCAAAGAGGCACAGAATCTTAAGTCTGGAATGAGGAACCTTCCCAGGAAGAGGCAGGAGGAGCATCAGTTCTGACATCTCTTTACTGTGGAGCAGTTTACTTTTTTCACTGCACAGAAATAAACTACCTCTATGGTGGCAAATTGCCATGGCGCTGTGACATCTTCTGCCTTTGGCACCTCCCCAACACGAGTACATACGGGTACCCAAGCTGCAGCCCTAGCGCCTCCTTCCAGGCACCATCCCACTGGCTCTAAGTCCCCAAAGATGCTTTCCTTCATGACCGAGCGTGTTCCTGGGTAGCATCCTCATGACAACTAGGCAAGCCGTTGATCCCAGGGAGCAGGGGGTTAACAGGACTCCAAAAGGAAGCGCTCTTGCACTCCTGCCCTGCTCCCACACACCCACGTAGAGGAAAGGATGTGACCCAACTGCCTAAGGTTAACGGGAAGTGCAGCGCATGCTGGAATTTCCCTTAGTGCCACCTAGAAATTCCATCCTCTATGTCCCAGAGTTCCAGACCTTTTGTCTTGCTGCTTAAATGAACAAAGCCCAGTGATTCATGTGTGGACAGGAAGTGGTCCCAAAAGGTCTAATGACTCCAAACCACTGAGAAGGGTCACTGTCTCTGACACATATCTCATTTGTGTGTGCCAGGGTAGCACCTGTCATTTTCTGTGTTTTCTCTTTATGTCTTAGGTTTTCCGTTGTTTCATGGAGGGTGTGCCCTACTTTTATAATCAAAAATTGTTGCAGATAGAGTGTATACATGTAGTCACTGTACACACACACACACACAACACACACAGGACAGGATAAACCACCGCCTGGAATTTTACTAAACTCCTCCACTGTAGTTTTCAACGCCCAGGAGTGTAAAGTCTTTTAGAAGTTGGCAAAGAACCAGAAAAACCACTTAAGGGAATGTTTTTCAAATTTTTAGCCAAGAATGCCCAATAAGAGATACATCTTAAACTGGGATGTGGAGGGAGTGTAAAGGGCGGAGAGAACGCCATTGTTTTTCCCAAGGATCGTCCTATGAATTCCATTCTGTTTTTTCGCTCTATTCTTAAAACACTCAAGGATGGGCCGGCCAGAACCCGCTAAGTGGATTTCATAACACCAACGGGTTGCTTAGTTCAAGGGCTTGGATCCTCGGGATAGGCCGATTCCCGCAGTTTGAATAAACCGACGGCTGATTTCCCGCCCCAGGGGGAGCGAGGGAGTGGCCTGCTCCACCCAACAAACTCGCCTTGCGCGCGGAGGCGGCCCTGGGCCCCAGGCCCCGCGCGGGTGGCGGGGTCGCTTTCGGGGATGGCGGAGTCCGGGCGGGCGGCTGGGGTGCAGGCAGGGAAGGCCGGGGTCCTGGAGGAGGAGTGGGTGGTAAAGGCCGGGGTCCCAGCGCGGGGTGGGGAAGGCCGGGGTCCGAGTGGAGCGGCGGGGTCGGCGCGCTACTCACACGATGACTCATTGTAGTAGACGCTGATCCTCTCCAGCTGCAGCGCCGAGTCGCCCACGTAGCCTCCGGCCGGGTCGATGCCGTGCTCGTCACTGATCACTTCCCAAAACTGGCGAGGGCGCGGGGAGGGACAGTCAGACCCGAGCCGGGGACCCCAGTCCCCCCGGGGGCCGCGTTCGAGACAGCTGCCCGTTGGGGTGTACAAGGGGCCAGGGCCCCGGCCGTGACACCCGCGCGAACCCGCAGCCCCACTCCTCGGGGCTCACTCCCCGGGTCCCGCGCAGGGCCGACGAGGCTCTGAGGGACACCGGGCGGGGTGCGCCCGGCGGGGACCTCGGGGGAGCCCCGGGTCCGATATTGCCCACCCGCTGGGAGCCTAGGCCCACCCGGGCCCACCTTGGTGCCGATCTGGTTCCCGCACTGGCCCGCCTGGATGTGCACGATCTCCCTCATGGCGCGCGCGTCTGCGCTCGGCTGCTGCCTCTCCCGACGGCCGCGGCGACTGCCGCCCGCTGGCCGCAGCCGCAGACCCGACCTCCGCCCGCCCCGCCCCCGCCGCCCCAGCCAATCGCCGCCCGCCCCGCCCCGCGATCAGGAGGGAGAAGGGACCCGACAGCTGAGGGACCCCGGGCCCGGAGCCAGCCTGAAGCACCCGGCGGGATGGGTGAGATCTCGGAGGCCCCTCGCTGCTGTTGGGGCGTCGTGGAGACTCGAGCCCCGGACAGGAGATGGGGGCTGCGGAGCTGGTCCCCGCCGCCATCTGCAGATCAGTGGGTGGATGCGCTTTGGGACCCTACCGGAAGGGAACCAGGGCGTCCCCGTTCCCGCGTTCTTAGGTTGCAGCCTCTGCCTGCCCGTCGGGGATCCGGGCATAGGGTACCATGCGAACCGCTGGTCACTGAAGACACTCCACCGCTGCATGCACCCTCGTCTACGCGGCCTCCCACGCGAACCGATTTAGCGTTGGAAAGCTTTTGCGCGCGGGGCCGGGCGCCACCCCATCCTCCTCCCCTAGTTCTCTTACAATGGAGGGCGGTGCGCGCGGCCGTGAGACAAGTGCAAAACTGGAAAAGGGAAGGCACCAGCAAGGATCTGGCCACACACGCTTGTGATTTCTTTCTTTCTTTGCGGTACTGGGGCCTCCCCCTTGAGCCACTCCACCAGCCCTTTTTTTGGGGAAGGGTTTTTTTTCGAGATAGGTGGTTCCCGAACTGTTTTGCTGGGGCTGGCTTCGAACCGCGCTCCTCCTGATCTCTGCCTCCTGAGTAGCTAGGATTACAGGCTACAGCCACCCGTGCCCAGTGGGCGCTCGTGTTTGTCTTCGGGGCCACCGAAGACGCGGGGGTTCCCTGTAGAATGAACCAAGCTCTCCCGAGGGACCTGGAGGCAATTCCTTGCCGCAAAGCAAAGCCCAGTATTTCTTCTACAGCATGGCTCCCCAAACTCTGCATCCTTGACCTTGGCCCTCCAGTTTGCCAGTGTCCCGTTGACATCCCCTTCCTGGCACCTGCCCCTCTCCCCTCCAGCAGCAAGGACTAACTTTGTCAGCAATGGGCATGGGGGCTTTATGGGTTTGGGGCTTCTTACTGTCCTGGCTCTGATGCCCTGGCCTCCCTCTAAACTCCATCACCAGAACCTGTATGGTAGGCGTGTTCTACTACCAGGACACCTAGAACTTTCTGGAATCCCCTCCTTTGGGGAACTCCAGCTGGCAAGCCTCTCACCCACTCCTGGGCAAATACCAATGTCTGCCAGGTAAAAACCAAGGGGCTCCTAGGGGGCAAGAGGCCTTCTCCAAGGCCAGTTTTGTGTGGTGAAGAAGCAAGAGCACTGGATGATGACACAGGGTGACTTGCACTTCCATTCTGGCTCCATTCCAGGCCCCGTGGGTTCTAGCCCTTCCCTTCTCCAGTCTTCACTTCAGTCTTCTGTGAGAGGAAGATGTGGGGAGCACCCTGAGCCCCCAGGACCTGAAGTCTGCACCCTTACCAGCCTCACAGGCCTTTCTCATGGGGATCTAGAAACATCCTTCTGTGTCCTCCTGGATGCCAGGCCCAGGCAAAATGGGGAAGAACCAGTTCTCTAATTTCACCAGCAGTTTCTTTCTGGAGACACAAAAACTTTGGGGAAATCCGAGAGAGAGAGAGAGAGAGAGAGAGAGAGAGAGAGAGAGAGAGAGAGAGAGAGAGTGAGAGAGTGAGAGAGAGTGTTTGAAAGGGGACAGAAGACTTAAATTTTTTCTTTGGGAGTTTTTCAAGTGTTTCCAAATTTGGGAATCATTTTACCCATTCTCCCTTCCCCCGTACCACTTCTCTGCCTTGTCATCGTCCCATGTCTCTTTACACAGTGACACTCCAGGGAAGCAGGTGAGAGGCCCCAGCCTCATCCATGCCCCTCAAACCATAGGCCTGAACTTGCTCAGCATAGGGAGCTATATAAATAACACCCTTATTTAGGCTGGGTGTAATTACTGACTTGGAGCAAATGCCACCTTTCTCTGTCTGGCTCAGCTGAGTCTAGTGTGGGAGGTGGCAATGGAGGCCAGTGTAGCTCTGGAAGGGGCTTCCCTTCAGCTGGGGTCACTCAAGCAGCTTACAGGACAGTGTCCACTTTGAGAAGCTTCCGCGATTTCCGGAGGTAGCCACCTCTTTGATGCTAGTCGTTGGGCTGGAATTTGAGGTACCAAATTGGGTTAGAGAGTGAGTGCAAGGGTGGCTCCAGGAGCTCTGTGGTATCCCAGATTCATTCCACAGAGGACATGTTGAGTAAGTGGGTTTTCTGGAGGCCTCTCAACCTGCCGTCCACACCATGATGGCAGAGGGTAAGGGAGGCTCTTTGCTAGATGCTTTTATACAGAACACAAGGCATCATCTGAATGCAAAATAGCAGCTCAGAGCCTATCACCTTCTGACAAGTGAGTGAGGCCTGCTCCTTATCCAGAAGAGGCAGGAGTAAAAATACACACAGGGAAGTCTGTAAGGCTATAACATGTACAGGTGACAAGACAAGCTTACACAAAGTCATAGAGAGTAAATTCCAGTTGCCTACCTTGAAAAATACACCTTCAGGGCTGGGGGTGGAGCTTAGGATGTGCATCAAGGGCCCCGGATTGGATCCCTAGTGTGCACACAAATGCTCACACACACACACACACGCGCACGCACACACACACACACAATACACCTTGGTATCTGGAAAGCCAGTTCCCAACTCTCAGGCTTCTGGGGATTTGCCTCAGGGCTCCGCAGTGGAGCTGAACTGGTGTCTCCCCTGAGAAGGGACTCTCTGCCGTGCATGACTTCAGACACTTGGTCCAAGCTCCTCCTCCACCACCCCAGCCACCATTCGCACCACCGTCCCCCTGCCCCAGCTGCTCTGCAGGAGGAAGGGGCCTGGAAGTAGGTTCGGAATTGTGAAATGGGGGTGCTGAGGTGAGTCTAGAAGCTTGGGCTTGGATGGTCATGTCTTAGTACCCTGTAGGGAGGGGCACCTGAGGGCCTGGGCGCTCTGATCTGCGTCAAGGGCAGCAATGGGGTTCTGACTGAGGCCATGGCCTTGGTGCTATGTGAACCACACACCCATCCAGTGTGCTGGCTTTCCATGTCCCTGCCCTGTCTCATTGTCCTTGCTGTGCCTTGATCACACTCTTTCTTCTCCCTTCTGTTTCATGCAATCACCTACCCAGTAGGGACTGTGGGTTTACTGCCCAGGTTTGGAAACTGATATCCACAAACATGGGGGCGATCAGCATTCCTGTGATCTCCCACCCTCTTCTGGACAGCACAGAGACAGAAGCTGAGAGGGGCCCATCCTCTCCAAATGCCCCTGGGCAAGGGAACTTGGAGGGGCCAAACAGGCTCTTGAACTGGGCTGGCGATGGCCAATTATTTTCAATAGAACCCCAGACTGAAAATGAATGACATCAGACTATGCTGTTATGCAACTTTATCGGAGGTGAGGGGAGATGAGGAAATGCCACTTGCCAACTGCAAGCAGAGGCACATGCCTGGACAGGACACTGCGCCTGGGTACCCATGGAGGGGGGCGGGGAATTGTAGGTATTGCCACCTGGGCTCCAAGGACAGTAACAAACTTTCAGCTCTCTGTTGCCTGGCCTTGGTGAGCAGGCTGTGCCCCCAAGCAGCAGGCCAGGCTCAGAGCTGGGTCTCGAGTCGTGTGTGCTGTTTGCTTGAAGCATTGTCAACACTTATTCTCAGAAAGTTCTCCAGGAGCCAAGGCCCCACTAACCCAGCGAGGGAGGACCTGGGCCAGTGTTGCTGGGGCACATATGTGTAGTTGTGCCCATCTCAGGACCCGAGGGTCCTGGTTACAAATCTGGAAATCAAGGTTTATGAAGGCAGCTTACATGTAGATCATTTTTTTCCCTCTCCAGTACTGGAGTTTGAACTCAAGGCCTCAAACTTGCCAGGCAGGTGCTGTACCACTTCGCCATTCCCCTAAGCCCCTTTTGCTTTAGTTATTTTTACAATAGGATCTCAAGTTTTTCCCTGGGCTGGCCTGAACTGTGTCCCTCCTATTTACTTCTCTCACAGAGCTAGGATGACAGACACACACCACCACACCTGCATTATGTATTGAGATGGGGTCTTGCTACATTTTTACTCGTCTGCCCTCAAGTCATGAGTCTCCTGAGCTCTGCCTCCTGAGTAGCTGGGATTTACAGGCATGCACTCCCAATCTGCAGACCTGTTAATACAGGATTGTGTTCACTTCAGTGTAAGTGAGAATATCCTCTAATTCTAATATTTTTCTAATTCTTTGAAAAATATTTCAAACGTAGTAATTAAAAACATTTTTGGGTCAACCAGAGGACCATGTTCAGAGGCCAAGGGCAGATGAGAGGCTCGTGGGCAATGAGTTAGCACAGTGCAAGCTACCTAGGAACCAGTAAAACACAGGGCCTGAGGGCAGCTTTCCTGGGTTAGTGACGTGTTGTCATGAGCTAGTGACTTGCTCTTTGAGCCTTGTGCCCCTCATCTGTAATACAGAATCTGAGAGCACATACCACCTAAGGTGTGTGCAAATCAGACACCCCTGCTACAGGTGTGCTCCGCACCGACTGTTTCTACAGCAGGGCCCAAAGCAGGCGGTCAGAGAGCCACATAGCATATGACTGTAGTTAAGTCATCCACAGTTACATAAGATTTCTAATGTGGTCTTTTCACCAAAGACAAGTATGTACCTTCAGGACACTTGGGAAGGCCAGGTTGAGTTTAGAATTTTCTGAGAAGTGCTGGGATGGGACAGAATTAGAACTGCTGAAGCCCGGTTCCGACCTGCTTATCTTTACTCTGGCAGCTCCACTTCACTCCTCAAGGGCCTGAGGATGCAGGGAACACCTCGCCCTGCACATCCAAGCGGTGCTCTCTGCACAGGGTGAGTTAGTTTCACATGTTGGTAGCGAGGCCCTTCCAAAGGTGGGCAGGTAGAGACTCACCCCAGGAAAGAGTCCAGCTGGACTGGCTGCTGGCACAGGG